GGCATAGTCCTCATCTCACCAGACAGCCTACAAGTGGAGTTCTGGGTATTGAAGGTCCCCTCCATTTACAACATCATCTTGGGCCGAACATGGCTGCATGCCATGCGATCGGTGGCGTCATCCTACCACCAAGTAATGCGGTTCCCCAACGATACCGGGGTAATTGAAGAAGTCTATGGAGATCAGATCATGTCAAAACAATGCTTCGTCATGGTGAACGGCAGCCGCGCTGCCAAAGGATACGTTTATTCGGTGGAAGAACTTGAGAGCAATGAGCTATTCGCAGATGTCGGCAAAGCGGCTGATCAGAAAGCAGTGGAGGACTTGGTAGAGGTAAGAATAGATGAAAAGAACCTGGATAAGTTCTTTTTGCTCGGTTCGTCGTTGTCCAGCACTGAGAGATTAGAGGTCTTAGAATTCTTAACCTCCAACATCGAAGTGTTTTCCTGGACACCCTACGACATGCCAGGCATTGATCCAAACTTCATCAGTCACCAACTTAATGTCCACCCATCTGCCAGACCAATCATCCAACGAATACGCAGATCGACACTCCACAATGCCGAGATAGTAGCGGAAGAAGTAGGTAACCTGCTGGAGGCAGGAGCAATTAGAGAAGTACACTACCCAAGGTGGATCTCCAACACAGTCGTAGTACCAAAGAAGAATGGCAAGTGGCGTGTCTGCGTCAACTATAAAACAGTCAACAAAGCATGCCCAAAAGACAGCTTTCCTCTACCACGGATAGATCAACTGGTAGACCTAATGGCGAGGCACAACCGACTTAGCTTTCTGGATGCATACAGAGGCTACCACCAAATCGCCATGCATGAACCAGACCAGGAGGTCACACCCTTTACAACTCCAAGAGGACTATACTGTTACAAGGTCATGCCCTTTGGCCTAAAGAACGCAGGGGCAACATTCCAACGGATGGTCACCAAGATGTTTGAACCATTGTTAGGCAAAACATTGGAGGCTTACATCGACGACATAGTGGTCAAGAGAAAGGATGAGAATGACCATCTCAAGGACTTAAGAGAGATGTTTGAAATCCTGAAGAAGCACAAGTTGCGTCTTAATGCATCCAAGTGTGCATTCGGAGTAGGATCTGGCAAATTCCTGGGCTTCCTTGTGACCAACCGGGGCATAGAAACAGACCCCTCTCAAATCAAAGCAATCCAGGATTTGGAGAGACCAAACTCGGTAAAGGAAGTGCAGCATCTCACCGGCATGGCAGCTGCGCTCAATCGGTTCATAAGCCGATCGTCAGATAGACTATGACCATTTTTTCATGCCTTAAAGGCCAAGTTTGAGTGAGATGAAGAATGCGACCGAGCTCTGGAAAGCTTGAAGGAATATATGTCTTCCCCACCACTGCTTGTTACCCCAGTACCTGGTGAAGAACTCTTCTTGTACCTAGCAGTCTCTCAGCACGCAATTAGCACAGTGTTGGTCCGTGCAGAAGGAATCCAACATCTGCCCATCTATTATGTCAGCAAGACATTGCTAGGAGCCAAAACAAGGTATTTGCCATTGGAAAAATTAGCATTGGCCTTAATGATGGCCTCCAGGAAACTGGCACACTACTTTCACGCCCACACCATAGTCGTCCTCACAGCTTTTCCACTAAAAGCTTTGTTTAAGAGGGCGAACTTTTCTGGGCGAATCTTGAAGTGGGCAGTTAAGTTGGGACAATTCGACATCAAGTTCCAACCCAGAACCGCAGTAAAGGCCCAATCTTTGGCAGACTTCGTCGCAGAGTTTACTCTTGGAAGTTATCATATCTGCCCAGTCAACCTAACTGACACAACCGAACTAGTGATGAAAGTTGACGCCGGAATAGCGCAACCCCTAGCAGAAGGTACTCAGCCAGACTCCAAGGCAGACCAGACTAAAGACAGCAAGCAAGAAGCAAACCAAGATACACCAAGCCAAGACTCACCAACAAATAAAGAGTTGGTACAATCAGATAGCGAGGGGCAGACAGCAAGCATGGACCTTGAAGAAAACACCAGCAACATTCTTAACCTCACAACATCATCTGACCCCTCCACTTGCTGGAAACTGTTCGTTGGAGAGATGTGGAAG